TCGTTGGATGTTATTTTCTTCTTTTAGTTGTTTAACTTGGTTAATAATATATTCTCCCACTTGCTTTTTAACTTCCGGATGTTGCAGGGCTGTCATGTCGTAGTTAGGTCTAGACTTTTTCTTTATTGTCTTCAGTCTCACATCCATGACTCCCACTAAAGGTATGTGGTCAGATTCAATGTCCGCTCCTGGATATGTTTTGACAGATTTAAAACTGTTTCTGAATCTTCTATTTACCAATATATAATCTATCTGGTTTCTAATTACGTTATGGGGTTTATCTGCTGGTGCCTTCCATGTATACAATCTCCTCGGTGGTAGTTTATAAAATGTGTTCAGAACCACTAGCTTGTTATCTTCTGCGAATATTTCTAGTCTGTCACCTCTTTCGTTTCTTTGTCCTAATCCAAAAGGTCCGATTAGAGACGTTTTCCGTTCGGCCCCAAGTTTTGCATTGAAATCCCCCATTATGATGCTGACCTCATGTTTAGGTATTCGTTCTAATATATCCTCTATGCTTTGGTAGAGAGTCTCTACTTCCTCGTCGTCTTTATCTGCAGTGGGAGCGTATATTTGTATTATGTTTACATTCACTGGATTGGCTCTTATTTGCAGTAGTATTACTCTGTTGGACACTGGGACAAAATTTAAAATACATCTACTAATTTTTCTCGTTATTATCATACCAACTCCATGCTCTAGTTTTCCATCTAGTGACCCTAAATTACAAGGTAATTAACCTGCACAAAGATTTATTCAAAACAACAACCATTTTTTTAATTATTTGCTCATTCGGCGTAGGTTGATCACTAAAATATATTTATGAAGTTCTGTAAATATATTCTTAATAACAAAAACATTTCAGTTAACATCCATGTATATATATATATATATATATATATATATATATATATATATATATATATATATATAGCATGTATAAAGTTTCTATTATATATAAAATGTATATTATATATAAAAAATATATTTTATAAAAAAATTACAGTAATTTAGTTTATACCGTTAAGTTGCTCCAAATGTAGGCAACCAACTTAAACTTTTTTGGCATTTAGCTGGAGTTTCTTGAGAATATTTTTAATAAACGTTTAATCTTTTCCAGTTAATCTATTATTTTTAAAAGTTATGATAATAATGCTGAATAAGCAATATTTTAAATGATATTTAATCACAAAAGTACTTAATATTAATTTATATAATCTTCATAAAGTACGTTTCTAATAAAAATTAGCTAAAATTAGAAAAAAAAACTAGTTTATGATAGTAATAATGGGATATTATAATATTTTTGAATTATATTTTTGATAATATTGTATTATCTATTTGATGCAGAATATTTTTTAATTATAATATGAATATTATATTTTTTATCTAACGTACTTTATGAGGATTATATTATATAACACAATATTAAGTACGTCTTGTGATTATATATCATTTGAAATATGGCTTTTTCAACATTATTATCATCACTTTAAAAATAATAATAAAATTAAATATATTCTCAAGAAACTTCAGCATAAATGGTAACAAAAAGTTTAAGTTGGTTGCCTATATTTGGCGTAACCTAACGATATAAACTAAATTACGGTAATTTTTTTATAAAATATATTTTTTACATATAATAGAAACTTACTATCTTTATACGTGCTATAAATTTCTAAGTCATATAAGTTTGCAAAAGAGGTCGAAGAAATACTTTAATGAAATGCGCTATGAGCACGTGTGCTTGGTCGTATAGTAATTTCCAGCCACTTCTAGTCTGTCAAAAAGTAATTAACTTCGTAAAAACATAATTACTAAAATCACTAGACAGTTCGGACTGGGATTAGCGAAACGGGTATACCTAAATTTTTGTATTATAAGATTGAAGTCTGGTATAACTTAATTTCGTATATTTACAAACTAAATTCAAAAATGTAGGATGAGTCCTGCTAATGAACATATCTCTTTAAACTACATCGAGAAACTTTGAATGTTTGAACAATCATCTTTCAAAAATATCACTCTTATGCATTAAATTGAAAAGAAATTTCTTGGTATTGCTCAAATTTTAAATAAAGATATGACTAGTAAACAAATTTACAAGTTTTAATATTATTTAATCAGAATCCGTTATACAGGTTGTTGTCCAACAAACACTTGTTTTGAAAGTTATGTCGTTTGAATTGCATAACCTTAAATATAATCATCTTAAACCTATTTAATTACTATAATGTACCCTTATAACAATACATCTATTCAATATTGTTATATTCATCTTTTTAAATCATGATATGTCTTGAACACCACCAATTATTAAGATATTTTTCATTATCATTGTTGAATACCTTGGGCATTGTGAAATTATCTCATTATATTTTTATTCTTCTAATTGTGATTTGCCTTGGATATCTTAAAATCATAACAACATAATTGTTATAAACTTTGTATAATTATAAATACAAAAAATAGTAAAATTAAGTATATAAATTGTTGTATGTTAATTATATATTCAGATTAATTACATAATTTTTATTTATAATTTTTCAATGATTATAACAATTTATTATTTTGTGTAAAATATATTTATAGTTTTGAAAAAAATAATTGTAAAAATATTAATTCAAAAATTATCAAATGAATTTTAAATAGAAAAATTATTTTTTAAATTAATTAATTAATAATTAATAAAATATTTAAGTTGCTTATTATTTCATAACCTTTTCTATAATAATAAGATAATAAATCAATATTTATTGTATATTGTTTAAACAAATTACTAGGTTAAATAAACAATTCATAAATTAACTAAATTCATCATTTTTATTATCTATGCCACGAGTTACCTAAACTTAAATAAATACATATATATATATATATATATAATATATATATATATATTATATATATATATATATATATATATAAATTTTCGTTAATTAGAACCGGATATGTTGCAACTTTCATAAATTTAAATTTATGAATTCAGTTTAAAAATTGTAAAATCGCTTCGCTTTTAAACCTTTTATCTTCGACGCATCATGGAGGGCTCATTTTTAAAAGAATAGTTTTTAGATTTTTTTACCTAAACTTCAACTTTTAATCTTTCAAATGGTTCTTTTTGAATTGCTTATTGTTTATGAGTTTAAAATCACAGTACCTTTGGAAACCTATTTTCCAACATGTAACATAAACTTTTTAACCATTAAAATGTTTTAATTTGATAAAATAGACCGTTTTCTTCGATCTGGTACTTGCAGAATTCATATAGACCTAACCATGGACGTATAAACATAGATGAACACAGCAATAAGATACCTTTAACACACAATGTTTTGAAGCTTCGATAGAATGTGATGCTTCCGCGATGAGCATAAGCGTGCTTGAATTTTTACTCGCGGGTAATTATTCAGATTTTAAAAATTGGAAGTAGTAATAACGTATAAAAACACGTTCAAAGAATTAAAAAAAAAGAGAGTTTAACTATTAACAAATCACGTCTTTATAGAAAAATTAAAATACAATTTTATTTGCTTTAAAATTAATACAATTAAATATAGTTGAATTCAAGTTAATTTATTAATAGTATCAAAATAATGCTACAATAAAAAATCTTTGTTTTCTCCTTAATTTGCTTCCCAAATAGTTCGATCGTCAATATTATTTGGAAACCTACATAGAAAAATAAATGAGTTTTATTCATTTCACTAATTTATTTGTATCCATGAGAAATATTAAATTAAAAAGGTACTAAACAGATCTTTTTTAATCAGATGATGTCTACTTACAATTTATAAATGTCTACAATTTTAATGAACTCATATCTTATTCAATACATTAATGAACATGAATAAAGCCAATGGTACGCCTATTAAAATGTAAACAAACACGCTTCCTTATTTCCTCATCTTGAATAATGTAAATTGTATGTACTTACAAATGAAATGAGAGATCGGGATGTAACTATTTCGTTTATTTTATTTCACTTTTCACAAATATCCACTCAAAATACAGCCAAAATATTGAAAAATAACTTTTTCCTCATTTACTCTAAAAAGTAAACAAACATGGAACAGCATTTGAAGTTTGACGTAGATCCATAAGACAGAGAAATGTAAACAACCGTTGCCATTTATAAATAGTTTTCAGTGCTTCTACATATAAAATAATTGATTGATATCTATTATACGCTATTATTAAATGATACTGCACACTATGTGCACACTTGATATTTTGATTACAATTAAATATATTAATATAACCAGTAAATTATTATTTTGGTTTGATAGCACCTGTAGAGTATAAAATACGGAGTAATATTTTCAGCGACTCGCGAATAAGAAATTTTAAAAGAAAACCCGACAACAGTTGCAGGTGCTCAGAATGTGACCTATTCAAATAATTTAGACTTCACAATTTTATGTAAATAACTGAATCCATCTGTGTTTATACGTCCATGGACCTAACAGTGTACACATAATCACGTTGTAGATAAACTTTTTTGGGATAAACAATTTCAATTTCGCAGTAACTATTAAGTAAAACCTCTTGACATTTTTAAAGCTGAATATTTGTGATAGTGTCCTTATTCTTAAGCAAAATCAATGTTTTTTATGCATTTTTAGAAAAGTTATTAAGAATTTTCAAATAATAGAATTTTGAAGCTAATTTTGAAATAATTAAGCAATAAATTAACCAAAATAACTTTACAATAACCTATTCAGTAAAATTGTGTCACTTTTTCATATAATTTACCGGTGTTCACTTTTACTATTTAAAACCAAATACCGATGTTACGTTGTTTATATATTGTAGTAAGTAAAAAATGACGTTTAGTCCTTGCATTATTTTGTTTATTACATATTGTTATAACCAAATTTATCAAAAGCAATCGTTAGATACCTGTATCAACGAATGTCACGGGAAAATCCATAGTTCTCTGGTCTATAGAGGACTTCCAGATCTACAACTCCCAAATATTTGAAAATTACAAATATTACCTGAAGAGCAGCAATACTGGAAGGTTCATTCAAATGTTTCTCTCCTCCAGCTCTCCAATGATAGTTACCAATGTCTCTAACGATCAACGAATCTGGACTAACTTTATAAGCATTTTGGTGTCGTTCGAAGGCTTCAGATGCAAGCAATTCTAAGTTGACACCACCTATTCTTGATGGGGTTCCTCTGAAAGCTTTTTCTATAACGTCTTCAGCTAATCCTACCGCTTCAAAGATTTGGGCACCTTTGTAGGATTGCAATGTAGAAATACCCATCTTTGCCATGACTTTACTGATACCTGTCAATTAAATTAATAATTTTGATAGACATCGCAGAAAATATAGCTATTGAACATATTTATACAATGAGTTTAGTATAATTATACCTGTAGACATAGCTTGAGCATAATTTTGAAAGATCATTTCATCTGTCAAGTTAGTATCCAATACGCCTTGGTCACGCAGACTGGAGGCCAATTCCAAAGCTAAATATGGGCATATGGCATCTGCTCCATAACCAAGAAGGACGCAAATGTGGTGGACCTCACGGGCTTCTGCTGTTTCCACAACCAAAGCTACTTTCATCCTTGAACGAGATTCTATCATGTAATGATGGGTAGCCCCTACAATAATTACGATTAATTACTAATTAAATCAAGTAGTTTATAGAAAATTAAAAATTATTGAACAAAAATATTGCACTCATCTATTCATTAATGCTTTAGATATTCTGGCGCCTCGAAAAAGAATAGTTAGACCGGTTAGACTCTTTGTCGATTTGGGTAATGCCCATTAGACCAAAAACTTGTTGGGAAACACTGTGAAAACTCAGTTCTATTTCATTTTCACGAGCAGATGAAAGTACCTACATCGTGGAGCCTTTGCCAGTATCTGTCGTGAATTTAAAACATAATTTGTGGTGTTGGTGTGGTGTGGTGTCAAACGTATTGAACTATCAACTGAACTTAAAAAATGGTGACAGCTTTTACTTTTTACAACTATTACTGTGGAAAAAGTTATCTGTAATAAAGAGAATTGCCCATGATTTATTTTTGGAAAACATACCACCAACCGTAGACAGCATAATGAGCAAACTGAAGGATGATCAGAACCTACCAGCTTTTTCAAAAACCACATTTCGTAGGCTACTGAATGATATGGGTTTTGGATATAAGTAAAAGAGGTCGAGATGCGAGAATGACGGAAAGAAAAGATATATCCTGGAGACACAAGTACCTCAGACAAATAAAAACATTGAGCAAGAAGGATAATGTAAACCTTGTTTATACCAATGAGTCTTGGATTCACGTCGGTATTTCAGTAAAAAAGGAATGAAGGGACACAACGAAGAATTAACTTTTTTTAACCAAAATAACTTTTTTGGACAAGACGGAAACCGCTGATTACCACGACGAAATGGACGGGGATCTATATGAAGAGTGGTTTGAGAAGACATTAATTCCAAACTTGCCGAAATACAAAGAAAACATTGTCGTTTTGGATAACGCGAGTTATAGTCGTTGACCCCATAAGCCAATACCGTAAATCCGATGCGGCAGCACCTGAACTATGGTCGACCTGAATGTAAAAGTGCAACTTGTCAATTATTGTTTTATTTTTCCAATGTGTAATGTATTTCATTTTATTAATTAGAATGCAGTCTGATTTGAATCTTTGAACAGTGAAGTTCGATTTTAATATTGTAATAAAGTTCTCACATTTGTAAAGTAAATAATTATTTTTTTTAAATCGTCCCTGAAGGGCTGAAACTATTAGTGGCGCAGTCTTAGTGGATTTTTCATAGAATTCGGGCAATGAGACCACAATCTATCGAGCAAACTATACAATTTATTAAAGAAAAAGATAATATTATATATTATCAAAAAAGTCAACTTTTTAATAATAATACTCACAATAATATTACTAACAAATGTTCTAGAAACCCAAACTATAACTTTCATTTAAATTCACAAATAAATTCTCGCAATAATAGACATTTTCAACCTTCACAATCACATCAGTATCAAAGAAATAAGCCAACTAAAATGTTTCAACCAAATCTAAATTTTGTTCCTAACAGATCCACTAACATTAGTACATCTACTAGGAATAGTAGCCCCCAGTTCAGAAATAGCTTTCAAAACTCTAACAAACCAGCTCAGAACGTTTGGCGAACAAATTCCAATTTTACTCCAAACACATCTACTCCTATACAACTACTAGAAATAGTACTCCCCATTTCAGAAATAATTTCCACAACCCTAGAAATCCAAACTAAACTTTTACATTAAAAGAACTATATAGTACCGAATACTAATCCATTAATAATAGTGATCATCAAAATACTCCTCAGACTTCTCATCAACATGATTTTGTTAACGAAGAGAATCATCAAAATTTTCAAGACAGCATCTCTCAAAACCAATCGACTTAATAGAATTAAATTTTTCCACAAATAAAAGAGAACTGCCATATATTCAGATTCATGATCCTCCATTAAGGTTACTGGTAGATACCGATTCCTCTAAATCTTTCTTAAATCCCGAAAAAGCTAACTTTTTTTACAAAAATTATATCTTTTATGAACCCTTTGTTGTTTCCGCAGTATTTCAAAGTACAAAAAAGGACTTTTGTGCAGAAATCCCCATTTTTTCAGAATTTAATCAGGAAAGTAAGATTAAGTTCCATCTTTTCGTTTTTCGACGGTCTTTGAGGACTAGATAATATAAAATATATTAATGCTAAGTTAGATTTCGTAAATTCCTAATTAACTACTCCATATTCCAGTATATCTATAACATACTATAAATCTGACCTAAAAATAATCTTCAAACAAAAATTGGACTCCTTATCTTGTAGTGTAGCCAAAATTCCAGTTTCTCAAAAATCAGGATGTTTATTTATCCCTGACCAAATTATTCAAAAATGTGAAATCCCTGCATGTCTCTCAAATGCAATAGATGGGTTTGCTCTAGTTGAAATCTATGACCGAACCCAAGATGAAATTTTTGTCACGTTAGATGCTCCAATTGATACTGTTCCTTTTGACGAAAATTGTCATGAATTATTCCATGCAGACATAGTTCCTGCTGACGAAATTGAAAAATTTAATTTTGAAAATTTAATCCGTACATCCCATATAAACTCTGAAGAAAAACAAAATATTCTAAAAATTTGTAATAAATATTCTAATCTTTTTCATGGCGAAGATAAACCTCTTACTTTTACAAATAGAGTTAAGCATTTTATAAAAACTACGGATAAACTACTTATTTATAGTAAATCGTATAGATACCCCTTTGTTCATAAACCAGAAGTAAATAGTCAAATAAATAAAATGTTAGAACAAGGAATTATTAGACCAAGCAACTCACCTGGGTCCTCGCCTATCTGGGTAGTACCCAAAAAAGCAGATGCTTCATGAAAGAAGAAATGGAGAATTGCCGTAGATTATAGGAAACTGAACGAGAAAACAATTCCAGACAAATACCCATTACCAAATATTATCGATACCCTTGATAAATTATTCAGATGCAACTATTTTAGTACACTTGATCTAGCTAGTGGTTTTCATCAGATTGAGATGCACCCAGACGATATTCCCCAGACAGCTTTCAATGTTAAGAATGGACATTATGAATATGTTCGTATGCCATTTGGACTCAAGAATGCTCCTGCAACTTTTCAGAGAGTTATGGACGATATTCTGCGAGGTCTTCAAGATGACATATGTCTTGTTTACTTAGACGATATAATTATTTTTTCTACCTCAGTACAAGAGCATATTGTAAATTTAGAAAAAGGTTTTAAACGTTTACAAGCCAATAATTTTAAAATACAACTAGATAAGTGTGAATTTTTAAGGAAAGAAGTAGCTTATCTTGGTCACATTGTAACTACAGAAGGTGTAAAACCAAACCCAGATAAAATTAATGCAATTGTCAAATATCCAATTCCTAATGCAACACGCGAAATAAAAGGATTTTCAGAAGACATTTCAATGTCTTCTCTTTTGTTTAAGGTTTTTGTGTAGTTTTAATTAAACACATTTCTAAAAACAGTCTTTTGTTGTAATTTTTTTCCTTTCTCAATATTTCTGTTTGATCATAGTTAGGCGTATGGCCCATTGTAATATAATGTTCACTTAATGCACAGGCTTGTACTTTATTCAGATTAATATCACTCTTGTGGGATGTTAATCTTCCGGACAAATTTCTGGACGTTTCTCCAATATATACTCTATTACAACTATTACAGGGTAGAGAGTATACTACATTGGAGCTTTCTTTATTATTTAAGGGTGTTTTAAGTTTAGTATATAATTTCGATATTGTTTTTATATTTCTGGTTCCAATTTTGATATTAGGTACTTCTCTAAATGTATTTAGTAGTCTATTTGTTAAACCTGGAATATATGGTAGAGAGTGGTACAATGTATTTTGGTTGTTTGTTAAAACTTCTGTTTGATTTGTCCTGATGACTTGAGAGACACCAAAAATAAGTCTATTTAGAAGTTTCGAGAAATAAGTTTTTATTTCCTTTCTAAGAATATATATATATATATATATATATATATATATATATATAAATATAAAACTGTTTTGGATGGGTTGGAGTCAATAAAAGGGGCTATTTGTTGACTATTTTTTAATCAAGCTTTCAATTGTGATTACAATTATTTTCAAGAGCTTCTAAAAATACAAAATATCTTACAAAGTTGAACTAGAAATAAAAAATTTTTTTTATCTCACAAAATAAAATTAGTTTTTTATATATAAAACTGCTGCTTACATATTAATTACAAAAAGACTAATAAAAAAATGTCCTATCCTAATAAATGTTTCTCTGAAAAATTTTGATAAAGTTTGTTAACAAAAAACAATTGAATTTGTAAACAAAAATTGAATAGCTACAAACCAGCCTAAATGTCATAAATACTTACTTAAAATTTTTAATTTTTGACATATTGTCAAAAATAAAATTTTGTTTAAAAAATTCTTCTTTGTTTAGTAACAAAAAAGAAGAGGGTTTATTCACCATTGATAGATGCCCGTAAAAATGTAACAAATACATGGAAAATTCAAAATGTGATATTTTACTGACTGCATATATAAATTACATAGAAATAATATAATTATAAATTTTGCTTAGATTTTGAATTTCTGACCTTTTGTTTAAATTATTATCACTTTTGCTAATACAAACCATTTCCAAAAAAGTTCTTTTAAATTTATTACTTTCACTACATAAAATTTTAATATTATTAAATAATAATACTACTAGTAGTAGTGCAGTGATCAGTGAACGGTGTAGTAGTGTCTGGAGGCTCGGGAGACTGAGACCTCCTAAGCCCTGAGGAAGACGACAGAGAGGATGTCGAAAGCTCGGTTAAATGGATATCGACGCGGTTCAACCTGGAAGACTGGTGAGTTTGATATTAATTTTTGTAATAATATTAACCTATTTAATCTATACCGTGTACTAATTGTAATAACATATACATAGGACAATCATCTCGTAATTTTCACAGCAGGTGATCTCACATCCTAGTGATATTAAAACAAAAAAAAATCAATGCATGTACATTGACAGAACATACATTAACTTTGAAACATGAATTTAA